CATTCCTGTGGAACAAGCAGAGAGCCATGGAGAGGAAGTACTTGCTAGCAACTGAACCCTCACCAGCAGCCTTTTGAGGAGGAAAGATGGCTTGTTACTGCTCTGCAGCTTTGGAAGCTGGGCTCAAAGAAAGAAATAGAACCCACTATGTGCTGAGCTTGCTTTGAGCAAAGCCCTACCTTGCACCTGTAAAGGTCTACACTTGAATGCAAGGTGTTAGCAGAGCTGAAGTTTACCAAGAGTCCTGCCTGTCATTCAAGTGGTGTAGAAAATTCTCTAAAATAATTGCCTCTTCCCATTTCCCCTGCAGACCCCTCCGTTCTTCATCTGATCTTTCTCTGTGACCTGAAACTATTGCTCTTTATTTCAATGTAAAATAATCTTTTTTCTTCCTTCTGTCATGACATGCAACTCTATTACTTTTCTCCAGTCTGGCCGGGGTAGGAAAACAGCTGCTACAGCTGCCTGAAATGAGGCAGCCAACCCAACCCCATCGCTGTGCAGATGGCATGTGGAGTTGTTTGGGGTTTAGTGGTATGTAGTGGGGCCAGGCTCTCTGAGCAAAGAGCTCTGGCAATAAGCTGGGCACAAGCAGCAGGGGAAGGCCAGATGTTTTCAGGAGGGTGGAAACTGCAACATCCCAGGCCTTGACCAGTGACCCTTACCCCGTGTGAGGCAGAGAGATAGGTTCAATATGTATACTTCCTGGGCTGCTCTGGTACAGCAGGAGGGCTGGAGCTGAGGAGCCTGAGTCAGTCTCTCCTTATCATGCTGTACTGCTGAAGCAATGGGTGGGAGCTCACAGGTTGTCTGCTTCATTCTCACAGCCCTGTGGATGACATCACAGCTTAAATATTTACCCTCTACTAGCTTTTACTACTGTGTATGCAGTTCAAAGGGGAGTGGAGAGTGGTTTTGGTGGGGGTGGGGGGTGTGGTATTTCTCCAGATGGCTGCTTGCAGCCTGCTTTGCAAACCTGTTGTATTAAACTGGATTAAATCCCTAAAACCTTCAGTGAAGCTTTGCAGTCTTGAATACATGGGGACTGTGTGTTGGGTTCAGATGTAACCTGGCTTGCTGCTTTGCTCTCAGCCAGAGCCCTGGGAGAGGTAGCTTGTGGGGGTGGCAGGGACATGGAGGGGGACCTGTGCTCTCAGCCCGCAGGGGCCACTCATGGCATCTTCCTGTGTGTCTCTCTCTCCTAGGGCGCTCGTCTGAGCTGAACCACTCGCCCCCTCCAGCTGAGAGCCAAGGGTTTCCCCCTGTCCCTCTCCTTTCTGCCTCCACTGAGGATGGTCCCTCCTCTGCCCCCAGCTGCCCACCCCCTCTGCCCCAGAAGAAGACAGTGAGCAGAACAGTGTCCTCCCCAGATGGCTTTTTTGGGGGACATGCATCTTCAGGCAGAGCAGCTGGTGCTGCCAGCCCCAGGCTGAATTTCAGCCACTCCGAGAGCAATGTCTGCCTCCAAGAGGAGCCTCCTTTTGTCTACCCAGCCAGCCTGGGGGGCCGCCCGGGTGCCTTCTCCTCCTCCGAGTCCCTGGAGAAAGGCTCCAAAGGAAATGGCTACTGGGGCTCAGCCACCGGTAAGAGCACAGGGGCTTGTGTCCCCAGCAGAAGCCTCCAGTCCTTTTCCTCCTCGCAGCTCAGCGTGTCCAGCCAGGTGTCGTCGGGCTCCAGCCTGCAGCTCCACAGCCTCCTGAGCAACATGGACAGCAAGGAGGGGGTGTACGCGAAGCTGGGGGCCCTGTACGCGGAGTCCTTGCGCCGGCTGGCGGCCAGATGCGAGGACTGCTTCATGCGGGAGCAGAAGGACGAGCTGCACTTCAGCGAGAACAACTGGTCGCTCTTCAAGCTGGCGTGCAACAAGCCCTGCTGCGATTCGGGGGATGCGATATATTACTGTGCCACCTGCTCCAAGGACCCTTCTACGACCTATGCTGTGAAGGTGAGCCCACACCCAGCAGGCATCCAGCCTTATCCCCAGCTCCCAGTTGGGAGGATGAGGCAAAGAGATGCAGGGCCCAAGGTTGTGTGGGAGGTCTGTCTGAGCTAGGACTGAACGTATATGGATTTGAATGAAAGAGTGGGAAGCAGACTCAGCCTTTGAGAAGCAGCATCAGCCTGTCTTCTCTGCTTGTCTTCTTCACAGGTAAAGTCTGGCAGGCAAAACCTTTTCCAAAATTGCCACTTTCCCCCTGCTGCTTGCAAAGGTTAATTTAACGTTTGTTACAGTGAAAACTACTCTAGTCAAATGCTTCTTGCTGCAGAATAGTAGGGCCTGAAACCCAACCAGTTCCTCTCTGAAAAATATCTTTGTGCAAACACTATGTTGTAAACTCAAGAGGCATTAGCCTCTGACACAAGCTGATGAAAGGTTGTTCAAAAGACAGCATTTTTTCCTCTGCCTGCCTTTTAAGTGGAAGGTCTGACTCAGAAACCATGTGAGTGCTTATATGATCTTGGAACTGCAGGCATTAAGATATTGCAGATCTCAATTAAACAGTGCGAGACTGACCCAGAAATGCAGTGTAAGGCCAGGTCTGAAATATTTTCCTGTCATTCTATGGAATCCATGTTAGAAATGGAAACGTGAGGTGCAATAGATCAGGTGTTTGAAATCTGGATAACTAAGATTATCCAATCCATTCCATGGATGTCTCATGGATTATGGGTTCTTGACCCAAGTTACTACTTGAGTATAGAGCCTTTAATTTCTATTCTGACTTAACCCTAGGGGCATCTCATTGCTGCTTACTCTTCAGAATGTTTTCAAAACCTAAAGTAACTCCAAAAAAAGCACTGTCAGAGATGCATTAAGCAAGAAAATAAAACAAAATAAAATAAAAATCTCTGCTGAATCGTTTCTACCATTATGAACCTCAAGGGGATCTTTTAGTTAAATGATAGCTTTAAGGCCAGTTCATGTTCTAAAGGAAGTATGGTTAACCCAACAGGGGTCTCTAAATAACCAGAATGGAGTTAGATGAGATCTTGCACCAATAACCCTAGTCCAGCACTTGAAGCTGCAGCTTCTCTTGTGTGTTATACCTAAATCTATCACAACTTCCTTCCTGCAGCTTGAGAACTGTGTGGTGAATGGGTGTGCTCCTTTTCAATCAGTGTTTCCTTGTGGCACGCACGCACCTTGGCTCTTGCCTGCCGTGTTAGGTGGGGTTTTCAGCAGCTCAGCTCCGTGGCTCAAGTGGATGAATTCCTGCCAAGGCAGAAAGAGCACGTTACAGTCTCTTAATGGGACTGCAGTTGTGTCCCTGCGTGTGATGTGGGTTTATTCTGTGCCCAGGCTATGCTGCAGAGCTCTGTAACAAAGCGAAAAGCACTCCAGCAGGGCAGTACTCTGTGCCAGTGTAAAGTGAAGTTGTGCATGTGTTTATACACATGCGTGTGTACACCTCCTGCAATGCTCCTGTGTGCCACCTTCTTTTTGGTGGCTGAAGCAGAGAATAGTTGTGAAACCTTAGAACTGGCTGATTCCTACCTGCCCCTCCTGGCTTCTGGTACCGATTTGCTGACATCAGAGATCACAGACGTGTAGTTAAAATTAGACTTGGAGAGCTCAAAATGGGCAGAGGATCTGATTTGAGCAAAGCAGCCTGCTGAGGAGCAGGAGCCAGAGTTGAGTCTGTGCACAGGCAGAGCCGGCTACGTATAAAACAGTTAGAAGGAGCCAGGATTACGTGAACAACTTTAGAGGAATTAAGCCAAGATATGCTCCATGCCTTGGCTTCTTTCTCCACTTAAAGATGAGTGACTAAGCCAACCCCAGGCTTCTACTTGGAGCTTGCTGCATGGAGGATGCCTCTGGTGCAGCCGAAGTCACAAAGAATGGCTGGCCAGGGAAGATTTCCCTGTCTTTGGTTGCAGTTATTCTTCCAGCAACTCCTCTCTCACGGGAGCTCCTCCCCTTTTCTTAAGTCTTACACATCTTCCCTGTGTGGAGAGGAACAACCAGGCTTATTCGGCAGAGAGCTGGAAGGCCTCCTCCACCTTTGGGGACCTTCTGTGTTTTCCTGTGTCCTGCTGCATGCAGCTGCAGTCTGCCTAGCTCTCCAAAGCTTGTCTTTCCACAAAAGAAGCATGGAGCCAGGGCAGGGTATTTTTGTTTAGAAAGGAGAGGACAATAGGGATTTGAAATGCCCCATCTCCACAGTATTGTCTCATCTGAGTGAATTACCTGCAAATGCCTAGATTCAAACCATTGCTAGAGGAATACAAAAGCAACCTGTTTCTCCAGCTCCTCTCTATCCTTGCATTTATTTTAACTCTGAGGCAAAATTGATTTCTTGTCCGATTTTGCATGCATGCTGTGACTGGCAGTGGCATGCTCCAGGGTTTGAAACATTTTATGCTGAGTTTCAGCCTGTTGCTGATTCCTGTGGGTGAGATATAAGTGCATTGTTAAATAAAAGGAAAAAAAGGGGGGGAAAAAAGTATAATAGAAATGCCAGAAGGCCCCATAACCTAATGGATACTCCTATAATAAGCCTGGGTTTGAGTTTGTTTAGTCTTTAATGCATTCACAAAGCTAAAATATAGAACAAAATGAAGATAAAAGTCATGTGGGTTTAAGAGACTAAAGATTATAAAATACTTTTTTCCCTTGAGTTTGCTGCACTCCCACTGATCTCTAAGCCTGTTGTTAACTCCTACTTTCTGGTGTTTTTTTCCCCTGTATTGACAAGAACAGCTTGTTGTTGGTATCCCTCAGCCATTGATCAGGTGCTTGAGAGTAGTCGCTGACACAAGAGGAGCAGCTGAAGAGGATGTAAAAGTGGCTCCAGGGCTTAGGACCAGAGAAGGGTTAGGTGGAAAAAAAGTGCTGGAGGTTTCTGTCCACCCATCACTCCAAACAGGGACACCCTTGCAGACACATCACATTGCACGAGGCCTTATACAGGCAAGCATTAACCATCTGCAGAGATGGAGGTGGCACATCTTCTGCCACAGGCTTTGCTTTTCCCTCTGCAGAATGTCTTCTGGGTCTCAGAGGGGAATCTTGATGACAACTCTGATGTAAAAGCTATGTAGCTTCTGTCAGCAATGAAACAAAGTCTCCAGAAGTTGCCTACAGGAGGACAACCTTCCTACCTTTCCTCTTCCTGGGCATTACCCGGCAAAGGAGGCATGCCCAGAAATGTGACTCAGACGTGTAGCTGCTACAGTTGGGGTGCTGCATTGCAAGAATGATCCTTAAGCCAGGAGATATTTTCAAGTACTAAAGTGACCAATGCACACCCTCCTTCTACTGATGTCTTCCTTAGCATCTGCAAGTCTCACCTTAGGAACCCACTTCTGAATTTCTGGTCTCCCCCTTGTCTCTGTTGCTGACTGATAAGACTTTCCTTTTGGTCTCTCCTCACAGATTTGTAAAACCCAGGAGTCCAAGGTGGCTGCTTCATACTGCAGCCCTGCAGTGCCAGTCCACTTCAACATCCAGCAGGACTGTGGGCATTTTGTGGCCTCTGTCCCCTCCAGCATGCTGCTGTCCTCAGATGTGGGGAAAAGCATGCCTGGCGATGGCCACCATCCCTCCCGCACTGCCAGCGAGCACGACTGTGTGGTGGTCATCACCCGGGAGGTGCCGAGCCAAACCACCGCTGACTTTGTGAGGGACTCCGTGATGCTGCACCAAGCCAAGCCTGAGCTGTACGAACGTCGTGTTTGCTTCTTGCTCCTCCAGCTCTGCAACGGCCTGGAGCACCTCAAAGAGCACGGCATCATCCATCGTGACCTGTGCCTGGAGAACCTCCTGCTTGTCCCCTGCAAGCCCCCCATGAGCTGTGTGAAAGCCAAAGATGACAAACACTTACCCCGCCTCATCATAAGCAATTTTTTGAAAGCCAAACAGAAGCCAGGAACTGGAGACTCTAAACTGAAGAAGAGCCAGGCCCGGCTGGCCCCAGAGATTGTGTCAGCTTCTCAGTACAAGAAGTTTGATGAGTTTCAGACTGGTATTCTCATCTACGAGCTGCTGCACCAGCCCAACCCCTTCGAGGAGAAGGTGCACCTCAGGGAGCAGGATTACAGCCCTGAGGACCTCCCTGCTCTGCCCAGCTTGTCCATCTACTCCCGGGGTCTCCAGCAGCTGGCCCACCTGCTGCTAGAAGCAGATCCCATCAAGCGTGTGCGGATCACTGAAGCCAAGCGGATGCTGCAGTGTCTGCTGTGGGGGCCCCGCAAAGACCTCACGGAGCTGCCCCTCAGCCATGAGGAAGCCCTCCGCCAGGTGCTGCAGAACTGGGTGGACATGAAGCGTGCCCTGCTCATGATGAAGTTTGCAGAGAGGGCTGTGGACACAGAGCGGAGCATTGAACTGGAGGAGTGGCTGTGCTGCCAGTACTTAGCGTCTGCTGAGCCGGCCTCCCTCTCACACACATTAAAGCTGCTGCAGCTGCTCTGACCTTGGATGTGTCTTGGAGGCAGCTGAGGGCTCCCGGTTGCCTGGTGGCTAAAGGTACACAGCCCCTTTCTACATGAGACGTTTGAGTCTCAGCTGCCAAGGCACATTTATCTCCTGCCCTGCACTCCCATCACAGTGCACAAGACACATTTAGTACCCTCCGCACTGTTAGTTTGTGAGCAAGCAAAACTGGGAAACTACCCCTATTTGGGGGGGGGGGGTGTGTTAAACTCTTTTTTAAGTCCGTAGACTAATAAACTCCTGCCTGCGTGTGTGCATGTTTCTAATGAACAAAATGTACTTTACTTGATTTCTGCACCTGTGGGACAGTCCTTTGATCCCCATCATCCCCTAAAGCACCAGACCCTTTTTGCCTGGGTACACCACTCCTCTCCAGCATGGGCAGCAGGGATGAGCCATTGACTGGCTTCTCCTGGGAAACAAGAGCACTTTGTGTAACGCTCCTTTGCCCAGGAGAACCAGGAAGGGCTTTCAAATTCATATCTTCCATGGGTTTTAGCATCCATTTTGCTTCTTACTTTAAAAACAAAAGTTACTGCTTGTTTTTTGTGTATCAGCTGTATTTTCCACTCTGGGCAAGTATCAGCTGTCTCTTACCTTTGTTCGATACTAATACATGATTTCCTGTCTGTTGGTGCTGCTATGCAGGCTGTTGATTGTGAAAGGGTAAGAGAGAGCCCAGGATGGGTCTGTTCATGAGGATAGTGCTGCATGCTGGGAATTACCCCTTGTAAAGTTAATGAAATGGAAAATCCCCAATTCACCTCCAAGGCCTTGCAGGGGAAGTCAGGGCCAGGTTGCTTTGCTTTCCCCATCCCTCCAGCTCCCTCCCTTTACCTGGTAATTCACCTGTCCCTTGTGTCTAGCATTTATTAACCCTGTTATCAAGAGATGAACTGGCATTTGAAAGGCCAGGACAGCTGCCCTGTGATCTGTGAGGGTCTTACTGCTGCTGGTGTTTAAATTAGAAATGCACAGGGCTAGGTGTACTGCAGACATGCTCCTCCAACAGATGCCATGCAAGAGAAGCATGATGGAAGAGGGAGAAGCTGGCCTGGCTCTTGCCAGCTCCTTTCTTTCCATCCAGACATACAGCAGCCACACAGCTTGGTAGAAAGGCTTTGCTGCTGCTCAGAAAATCTGATTTTTCAAAAAGCTTGTAGGCTGCTTTTACTTTTCCACCCCAATGTGGGGCAGAGATGAGCTGCCCTGTTCCTGGCAGCAGCTCTGTAGCCCTTGGAGAAAGGGTAGGTTTGAGACAGACACATGAAGAAAGCCCAGCATTAGCTTAGCTGAGACAGGATGTCACTAGCTGAGCTACCCACCTCCTGGGTCAAAAAAGGGAGAAACTAATGAGTGTTTTCTTCCAGCCTTGATTCACCTCCAGCTCCAGCCTGCTCTCTTAGGGAAATTTCAATTCCCTGGGTTTTTTTAACACTTCATACACTCTCTGTGAATCTTTTCCAGGCTTCTCACCAGGACTATTTTTTTTTTTTCTTTATCTGTTTGGCAATGGTTGCTGCTGATGGGAGGGGATGGTTCCTTGTCTGGGCACCCATTTGCAATGAATTTCCCCTTATCCCTTTAGGGAGGAGGCCGCACACGTCCCTGCCTGCTGAAAGAATGTGGGATGGCTCCAACTGCGGATGTTGGGGATTTTTTTTATACACTGGATTTCTTGCATCTGACTCTTGGGTCCACTTCCCTACAGCATATGTGGCAAGAGCATTTTGGCTTGGGAACCACTGTCCCGTGGACTGCCATGGAAATCTGGCCCTGGCTTGCTGCATTGTGTTCTCATATGGGCCAACAGAGTGATGAAACAGCTGGAGAACCTGCCTGAAGGTGCCCAGCAAGTTTTTCAGAGATAAGATGAAAAGATGATTCAATTTCTAAGCAAGAATTATAGGGAATAAGTTGGAGGCAGCTCTGCAGGACAGCATTGAAGGAGACAGGGTCTTGCCCTGATAGATGCAAGATGTGCTGGCAATGTGGTAATCGTATGCAGGGCAAATGGCTTGCAAGGTTTGGGATGGGCACTCAATTGGACCCAAGAAGTAGCAAAACGTCCAACCAACCCACAAAAGCCAATGCTGCATCCATTTTGCATGCTTAGTTTCAGTTTAGTGTCAATCACTGATACAGATATTGGCACAGGGCCTGCATGGTGTGGGATGTTAACCTGATCAAATGTTTTTCCCTTGAGTTTGGGCACTTGAGACTGGTTCTGGTGTTGGTCCTGGTGTCCTGCAGCAGCATGCCCAGCAGACCAGAGGCCAACAATACACTGTTTGGTAGCATTTCCAGCTCTATTATGTTGAGATTTGGCGGGTGGCTTCTTGCTCTGGTATAAACAGAAACTCTTTGCTCCATGCTTTCCTGATACCCTCCCTTGTGAGGAAGCTCATGCTTCTTCAGCTTAAACAGTCCTAGGCTTTTGGATCCTCGGCCAATGCATGAACTGGAGAAGTGCATTAGGGTTTCTGCTGTGTATATTTATGGGGAAACTGACGGCTGAGCCTCAGTTGAATGCCACAGTCCAGAGACTTTGCTAGCTTAGTCCCCCTTGCCCATGCTGTCCTCAGCACACTATGGGCCCCCCTTTTCTTGGCAAGCATTCTTGCCCCCATGCTCAGGATCTTTTGTAGGAGTGGTGGAGGGGATGGATCATCTCTTTTCCTCATATGACAGGGAATGCAGCTGACTTGTGCCCTGGGACCATCCACGTGGTGGGGGGCAGGTATTGCAGGAGATACCCAATTTGAAACACTGTTTGGGGTCCACATGCAGAAGTGACAGTGCTGAGGAGCAATTGCTGGAGGAGCACTACAGCCCCATGCATCTTGATAGTACTGCTGGGTACAGAAAGGGGTGTTTCTTGTTGTATGCTGCCCCCAGAAAGACTGCCAGCCCCTTTTCCTGTGCCCAGGCTCCCAGTGGTTCATGTGCACAAGAAAGGTGGTAAGGTCTGCCATTGCCATGGAGGACAGAGTCCCAGGAGTGGGACACAGTTGCCCACTAGTGCATCTGTAGCAGAGATTAGTTTTGTGGGGAGATTATGTGCTTCCTATGTGAGATGAGACTGACACCCAAAGACAACCATTGGGAAGGCAGTGCTGTCAGAAGCCCTCTTGCACGGTGGTCTGGATGACTTTGCCTGCCTCCTTCAGAGCATTCCTCAAAGCTAGGGGATATCCCAGGATTAAAAGCCAACCTCATTCTCTGGAGATGCTGCTATATGGGATTGCTTGAGCAATAGCACTTCTCACGTGTGCCCCGCTGGCTGCACAAGTGAGCCCAGAGCAGGATCAGTTCTGCTTTGGCTTCTTGACAAGCAGCAGCAGCAGGGCGAGGCAGTAGGAGAGGGGAAGGATGCTGTCGCAGGAAGCCCAGAGCAGGCAGAGCTTGGAGAAGCTCTCGGTCTCCACAGCCACCATGATGTAGGCAACAAGGAGCTGCGTGAAGACCCAGGTGGTGCCGCGGTAGAGGAGCTGTGCAGCCCAGGAGGCGGCGCGGGCGCTGAGGAAGGGGTGCAGGCAGTAGTCGGCCTCCAGCATGACCGCCCAGCACAGGAACCCAAAGAGCTGCCCTGGCCGGAGCCCGTGCCACCAGGCAGAGAAGGCAAAGGTGGCTAGGAGCGGGTGGGCCGGGCAGCGCTGGAAGACAAGTCTTCTCAACCACCGGGACGTGCTCTTGTTCCAGGTTCGGGAGAAGACGGCCAGGCGGTGCGTGGTCTCCAGAGTCCACAGGTCCTGGAGGGACAGGTCTC